GAGGCCTTGATTTGATCATCATCCACTGTACTTGGCCTATCAGAACTTGTCTTCGATGAAGAAATTCTCATCATGGAATTTTGCAAATTAAAATTGCCGAAAAATATGCGATCATTCACATTATCTTCACTGTACAGCATGCACTTATCTTTTTTACATAGCGTTTTTGCTTTTATAATAGTAATATAGCATAACATGTTGAAAATGTGTCTTTTGATCTTTCATTTTTCATCCTTTATAACAAGCGGCAATTAAACTCTATTAATTTTGATACTTGTTAAAGACTCATTAATATGTAAGCCATTAAGTTATGAATTTATTTGATAAAATAAAGAAAAGTATTCATACCTAAAGCCACGTTAATAATCATCTTCTGACAAAAACGAATATATATTTTTTGGCCAATGAAAGGTTCTCGAAAAGTTTGCCATGTTTATTCCAAAGAAAAAAAGGAGCCAGCGTGAATTGCGATGGTCGAACAGGTCATGGAGAAAGTTATCACGAATCTCACGTAATCGGCCCTCGACCGATCTTTAACAACCGCGTGATCGTCCGTGATTTCTTTACCTTCTCGATCGTTATCGCGACATGGCCGAGCGGCGGCGCACAATGCCGTGCGGATTAAAGGATTCTCCACACTGGACACGCTAGTGCGCTTTAATTATTGAGTACCGCGAATGATACCGCGCACCCCGTTTACGAGTCCCACAATTTCGTTACGAGCTGTAAGCCAAATAGTCGAGTGCGAGATAGTCGATCCGCGACAAAGATACAAATTTTATTTCTCTACAGATCCCAGAGAAGTCGGATGCAGGAATTCGGTTTATGTCGTAAGTAAAAATTGAAATACAATTATAGAGATAATAGAATCGATAAAACTTTCTTACTTGAATAGAATCAATAAAATCGATAAAATAATATATAATTAACCCTCAACTACAGTTATGAAGACCTAATATTTTTTAAAGCGCCTTGTTGTTGAAGTAACGCAAGTGAACCTTTACCTTATAGCGAATAAAGTCCAAAGAATCCAAAGATTTTGTTTACCTACAATTTAGAACCTCATAGTAATCATATAGATTGTACAATCATCCAAAAATTGTCGCACCTGGTCCAAATAATTTATTGCTATAGTTGAAATAATTCCAATATAAAAAAAATTCGTGACACGTGTGAAATGATTTATTTTCTTGTATTATTTCAATTGCATTATTTCGATTAAAGTAAAAAAAATATATAAATCATACATAACAAATGACAACTGGGATTCAATGATCGCTTCTATTATACATTACATCGGGTATTAGATTTTTTTTTTATATTGGCGATTGATCGTTTGCGACCGGCATGAAAGTAAAAACACTATTGTGCTGGCGGCGATAAAAGCGAACAACTCTGAGCAACGTTACGACGGTGTCCTAATATTCCGCATACTTACGATACGACCGATCGTACCTTTATTAGCGGCGTGACGACGATGCGGACTTCGTAAAATGCACGCGTCGTAAAGAACCTTATCTCGCGAAGCACGATAATTATACGGCGAGAGCAACAACTTAAGTGGCCCGCGGCAGTAGTTAAGAACGTGCGCGTGTAAAAATTTTGTTTGAACAACGGATTATTAAGTAAGAAATTCCGCCTACTCCGTGGATCGATATAGGCATAAAATTCTGTTTAAACACACGGAAAGAACAATTTTGCTGAAGTATCAGAAAAATTTAGCTAGACACAGGTCTGAAAATAATTTTGTTGGACCATCAAAATAATTACGTAGGTAATTCAAACATATAATGAGCAATGCTGAAAAAAATTTTAATATTCTAGCAACCAGTTTCACCATCCTACGTAATTATTTTGATAGTTTAACAAATTTATTTTCAGATCTGTATCTAGCTAAATTTTTAGACATTTCAACAACACCCTTCTTTCTGTGCAGTGAATTTATAATTACAAAATCTCGTTTAAATAAAACTTTCGATAATTATAATCATCTACTTAGGTTCACTTCTACCAATGCAGATTAGCTTTAATCTCGGTTCAACTCGGTTACGTCTCGTCTTCTTCTATTTCTATAGGAATTAAAAAAAGATGAAGATAAATTAAATCGAAAAGATGGAGATAAATTAAACTAAAAATTAATCCAAGTTGGTAGAAATGAATCCTAATGTTATCTTGAGAATCAGGATTGTTATCAATCATTATCTGAATCAGAATTGTTATCGATTTGAAAGAAGCAAAATTCAAAAAATATATTAGGTGTTGGAATTAATTCGTAGCGTTTTTAATGAAAGAATGTTATTTATTTCACATGAGCATTAAAAAATACATTAATGAAAGTACTTCCCATCACTTGTAAAACGCTACGAATTAATTCCAACACCTAATACTTCTGAAAAATCCAAACTTTCGTTTTTTAGCGACTTTCCGAAATTTACCTCGATGGTGGCTAATGTCTCAGTATGAGAAGCTCGCAAAGAAAAGGGGCCACAATTTACGGGATACGTGCGCGTAAAGAATCCGCGAATTTGTACACGACAAAGAAAACGAAGACGAGCGAGGAACGACTTGTCGATCGTCTTCGACGATTTTACGAGGCGTGTACGACAATTACCTCTAACATCGTTAACCTGCTCCTCCTTCTCGCCGTTTCTCGATTATCTTCATCGTCGACTCTTAGCAATAACGCAAGTTAAAGCGCCCGGTACAATTAATTTAGTGCTTGATAATATTCCAAACCCGGAAGTCGTATCGTCGCAAGATTTAAAGAAACTTATTACCGTAAAATTCACGGTTCTTTGATCAATAAGTAAAACTGCGTAATTAATAAAAACTTTGCTATCTATTTTAGGTACGTATCTTAAATTAAAATAAGCTCAATGATTATTGATAATATAATCAATATTGAGAAAATAACATAATTGATATAATTATATTATATTCTTGACATTGATTTTAACACCTATAATCGCTGAGCGTATTGCAATTTTTAATTAATACAATATACATAATTAGTACAATTATTTTAAAATAAAAAAATTAATATAACATTCGACAGATTCTTTAATCATAGACATAATATAAAAAAAAAGGATTCTCTTCCGGATTTGAATCATTATTAAGCGATTAAATTAACTGTATTAAATTTTGGTGTAAAGAATTAATTATATAGACATTTATTATGAAAAATTGAGAAATTATGAGAGCAGATGGCATCGGTTTTCCGTTTAAGGGTAATCAATTCTGAACTGACTGAGGACTACGTCGGAAGTTTGCCCGTTCCTAGGTTATCTAAGGCACTAATTAGGATTATGTGACGATAAATGTGATAATACGGAGACCAAGTTATCTCTCCAACAATCTATTAAACATCTCGCGATGAAACAAGACGGAAATTTGAAAAAAAATTGAAGTACGTAATCGTTCAAATTTCTACTAAAGCATTTATACACTGAAAAAAGTCTGATAATAATCAAATCGAAATAATTACTAAAGCTTCGGTAAAATAACAACATAAGTGAATTAGATAAGGAAGTATTTAATTACAAATAAGAGAGAAGAATGCCATTTTCAGTCAAAGCAGTTTTTTTTTTTAGTAATATTTATATGTACGATTATCATTTCTGTCATAAAATGAGATAATAATCTCACAATTAAATTAACCAATTGATTTTAATAACAATGCCTACTAGCATCTTAAAAACCTGTAAAAGAATTTTTAAAAAATAATAATTTCAATAAATATGTAATATAATCGAAACCAACTATAAACGTTAATTTCTTATTTACTTTTCTAAATATTATCTTACGTACCTAATTTCATCGAATAATTAGATATATTATTATTGTATTTGCTAAATATTGTATTATAATACTAAATAAAACATATTGGTAGCTATTACCGGACTTTTTTTCAGTTTACGATTGTATTGTCGTATCATTTTCGCGCTAAACCTTAAACACAATGAAAAGCACAGACAATATAACTGTAGAAAGAGGGAATAAGAAATTTTTCTCAGAAACCGTGTATAGCTAGAATACACGATTTCTGATAGATAGAAATCTTTTATTCTCAGTTGCTATTGCCTGTGCTTCTCATTGTGTTTAAGGCTTTACAACGCGTTAATCACTTCCGTATATCTTCCCAATAATCCATTAAGCACGTCGCGATAGAACACGATAGACACCCGTGGGGTTGGTAAACGAGGAACAAAGATTTGGAACAGCGGACTCCGGGGTCTGTTGTTTGAAACTCGATTAACGAGCCTCGGAGTTCGGACGCGGCGGTAACATTTTCTCGGAAGAGAACGCGCGCCTTATCGATCAAGAAGCGGAGCGGAGGGAATTAAGCCTTGATCGGTGGGGAGGAAGGGATTATAGTTTTTGCGAGATGACTCGCCGCACGCCCGATCCTTCCCTCGTTTCACGAAAGATGATCGTGTGCCGTAATTATTAGTTCCGAACCGGCGCGGGAGATTAACGAGATGGATTTTAACGCGACGCGTCGCGCAATCGGCACGGAGTAAAAAAAGGGAAAGAAGAGAGAAAGAGAAAGAGAAAGAGAAAGAGAAAGAGAAAGAGAAAGAGAAAGAGAAAGAGAAAGAGAAAGAGAAAGAGAAAGAGAAAGAGAAAGAGAAAGAGAAAGAGAAAGAGAAAGAGAAAGAGAAAGAGAAAGAGAGAGAGAGAGAGAGAGAGAGGGAGGGAGGGATAAAGAGAGAGAGAGAGAGAGAAAGAGAGAAATGTTCCCTCTCGTTCGCACCGCGAAAAGTAATATAATCGTCGTGTATTATCCACGCTTCGTCGATATTTCGCGCGAGACGGCGCGTCACGCTCCGAAGCTGGCCGCATAACTAACGAGGACACGTGACTTCGCGCGCCGCTAACTATCGCAACGAACTGAAGTTGGCACGGCTGCTTCGACTCTGAGATTCTCGCGGCGCTCTCCGAAAAATTCAAGATTCAAAAGAGTCAACGGTTGAAACGCATCTATGATACATACATACCTCGTAGGATCCATCGGAAGTGACGATTCCTCGGAGATTGACTCGCAGAACGATCGTCGATTCCTGAGATCCGTCCGACGCTCGCGCCTCCGTCCTTAATCCGTCTTGGCACTGCGGCGAAAAAGCACTCGCGTTTCCTGCTGTACACTCTCCTCCCGCATCTCTTTTTCCTACTCGTATATCCCTCCTCTCTCTCTCTCTCTCTCTCTCTCTCTCTCTCTTCCTCTCCCTCTTTCTCTCTCGCTCGCTCCGTCTTGCACTGACACTTTCGTAGAAAGACGCGTGCACCAAGTCAAACACAGGTCAGACGTGTGCGTGTATGTATGGCGCACAGCCGCGAGTGCGACCGGAGTCGGACACTGGGGAGGATGAGCGAATGTCGCGACCGTACCGCGCAACGTACGACGCTCGACTGCGAGCCGGGTAGTACCGAAGTGGATGAGAGCAACGACCAATACGACCAGCACCAACCGCGCGCGGCGGGCTCACACTGACGCATCAATGAGACCGAACGCACGGACACACTCGCACACACTGGTGAGAACAGCAGTGGCAAGCTACGACTCCGTCTCGCTTCCACCGCAAGCTGTCCTGCCCCCACCGCAGTGCCGTTCTCTACGTCGTCCCTCCCCCCTCCTCCCACTACTCTCCTCTCTCTCTCAACGTCCCGCGCGAGTCAAGGGCGTCGACCGACGGGGGCGAGAGAGCGCTCCGCCGTCTCTCCTGGAGTTTGTGGGTTACGAAGAAGAGAGAATCTGTATCTCTCTTTCTCTCTCTCTCTCTCTCTCTCTCTCTCTCCCCGAAGGCCGTTAAAAAGATTCAATCTACCACTCCATCGGCAGCCGTTTTCATCGGGGAGTGCTGGTCCTTCCCATATTTTGTATATCTCGCGGTACACTCGTCATCGATTCGTAGTTTCGATCGCAAATTTTTTGAAATATCGAATAATGTCCGTCAAACCTCGACGGCCGTGTTGGAATGTATTCTTTTGTACTTCTATCGACACTCGCGGCGCCAAAGATCGTTGATTTTTAATCCAATATGATTTTAACGGTCGTTAAGAATGTAAACTTTAACTTGAATTAAGATTAAGATTAAGAAATTAAAGTGTTTTTAATTCAATCGAGCGGAACTAACAGTTATTATAACTATGTTTACATTGGATTTTTTTTACAGCGTTTAGGCTCCTATTCTGTAATTCTTATTCATACAATAGAAGTAATATTGTGTAGTAAATCGTAAGAAATCAACTAATCACAGTCGAATATAAGGAGAATAATCGACTATGATTGGTCAATTTCTAACAGCTTACGGCTTACTATAATATTACTCCCATTGTATAGATGGGCCATTCGTGACAATAATGACATCGTTATATTGTCGTTGCGCAAATCTTGTATTGAGTCGAAAAAAAAAACTGCACAACGATGAAGTCGTTAAAAGACTGTCCATAATGGGAATAATATGGTGTAGTAAGTTACTGGCGACCAATCACAGTTAAATGAGGAGAATAAGCGCCTGTGATTGGTCAATTTCTTACAGCTTACGGCTTACTATCCAATATTACTCCCATTGTAAATGACTTACGAGCTCATGGCAAACTAAAAAACTTAAGACAGTAAAACGTAAGCAGTTAAGCAATCACAATAAAGAACGCAAAGTTTTCGTCTCATTTTTGATTGATCGATTCGTTTATTGTTTTACGTTTTTTCTACATGATTCTTTACAAATTAGAGATTTAAAGAATGCAATGTAAACATTATTAATAAACTGTTAAGCCCATTCTACAATTGCGTAAGCGAAGTGATTGTAGTTGTAAGAATTAAGAATATTCTTACATTGAGCTGTGGTTGGTCGATTCTTATAACTATGCTTACGCAATTGTAAAATGAGCTTTAGTTCCACTCGATTCGAATCAAAGTCACGTTGTATCTATGTATCTCTCAAATCTGACACGACGATTGTTTATCTGTTTATCACGAGTACCCGCCGTTCGCCCCGAGATCGATTGCAGCTTGCCAGCGATTTTCAATCAACGCGAGAATCAATTCGGCGGTACGTACAACATTTAATACATTTAATACATTGCCCTGTGCGGCGCGTGCGAGAGCAAGTTTCGAAAACTCTTTAGCGACACCCCTGCTTTGCGTTCGTCGCTCTCGCTCCCGCTCGCATCTCGCCGCGGGTATCCTCTCCTCGCACTCTCGTGTCACAGATATACTACCCGTGCTCTCTGTTGGCCTATCACTCGTTGCCGTTACTCTCCGTCGCGCCAACGCGTTTCTTAATCTTTCTCTCCAGAGTCCGTCGGGTTCCCTCGCGTCGTCCCGCTCGCTCTCCCATTCGTTCGCTCGCTCGCACCCTCGTGGATCCGCAGACACCGGCGTTGTAGCGG